CGGGAAAGGTGGGCGCGCGGGGGAAGGATGCGGCCCCCGGCTCCGCAAAGGGACAGGGGTCGAGCCAAGTGTCCCTTGGGGCTTGCTGCCGCCAGACGTGCCATCCAGCCAGGCACTGCCATGGACACGTGGGATGATTTAAGCTCGTGGTGGAACTTTCAGGTTCGACAGCTCAGTTTTGGTCCAGGTTTTCCAGCTTTGATACAAGTTTTGCTGGAATGAAGTAGTGGGAAGGGTGAAACGAGACACACAAGGCTCATGGACCTGGGACCTTGCTGCCACCAGGACTGGGAACAGCAGCTGGTGCAGGGGAGCCCCTGAGTCTTGCAAATGAAACGCCTTTGCTCTAATTAACCCTGAGAAGTGTCGCTAATGGTACGAGACTCGGCAGGAGACCCGTGAGGAGGTTACGGCCCCGCCACCACTGGAGCTCAGCCCGGCTGGGGGCCCCGTTCCCAACCACCGCTCCCGGACCCCCTCCTGAAGCGTGAACAGACAGAAACCAAGAGCAGACACCAAGTTTCTTAAGTAATAATACTTTAATAAAATTAAGTTCTTAATGTAATTTAGCACATTTAATACATTAACCCTTTCCCTTCTTTGTTTTCTACAAGTTGTGCAACATCATTATTTTAATTTTTTATTTTATTTTAATTTTTTTCCTTCTCCCCTTATACTATATGCCTCAAAACTCAGACAACGAGCCTAACTCTACTTCTATGTTCGGTTATATCTCTCTCTCAGGCCTTTATTTTTGCGTAATGCTGGAGAGATGAAAATACCTGGATGGAACATGTGATCGGTTTCCAATAGTAACAATCCCGACTACAGGTTTCCTATGACGTTAAAAGAAAAGAGAGAAAAAAAAAAAAAAGAAAAAAAGCAAAAGCAAACACAACATAATAGGGAATGGACTTTAAGTGGAAGGGCCACACAGTCAGGACGGCCAGGCTAACACCGGGCAACTCTGTGGCTGGCTGGCTCAGCACGAGGTTCGTAGTACCGTGGAGTAGTACTGTGTGATAGCACCCGGATCGGTGGGAAAGCGGATACACACAAACTTGTACAGCGTTTTCGAGCGAGGACGAGAGAAAGCTGACATGGTACTGGTCAAGCAAAAGCCATGAAGGGCTGGCAGAGGGCTGCACTTGCCGGGAAGCCGCTGCCGCTGCGTGGGTATTGCCGAGATCGCCGGCTGTGGTCCCCGGTGGCCCGGGTTTCATTTTCGCTCACGTCTTACATGGGGAAATCCCAGCAGAGCTGCTTTGCCAGAGTCCCAAGGGCAGCAAGCTGGAGCCTGGATCTCTTTGATACCAGGGTAGAGCCAGAGGAAATCCTCTACAGCCCCAACGGCTCCCAGCCGTGCAGCTGGATGCCCGGGGGCTGCTCTGGGCATCCCTGGGGATTTCCCTGGCTCACCCGGGGCTGGGATCAGAGTCGGCTCCACGGCACGGCAGCGTGAACAGGTCCTGCAGCGGCCGTGGCTCAAACAGACCTGCTAGTTTGGGATTCGTCAGCACTCATGCCCACTGCCTTTCATGTTTGCTTAACATTGCTTTTAACCCAGGAGCAAATCCTCAATTGTAAAACAGGATCTTGCCCCTGATTTTTTTCTTTCCCTTTTTTTTTACAATTATCTTGAACAGAATTCATAAGGAAAAAGGAAAAAAAAAAAAGTGCTGATCGTTTCACAGACGAGCAAAGCAGCCCGCGACCGTGTCTCTCCGTCCCAGCTCCTGGGAGCCGAGAGAAGATCTCTGCGGCCACGAAGCAACGCTCTGTCTCGCCACTGTTTCTCTGCAAGTTGTTTTAGAAGCATTGTCGCAAGACCAGAAAACACATTCTGCCATCAGCTGCCTGGTAAACCGGTGCCACCATCGGAGGGTGACTTCGTTTTTGTATCCCCGCACCGACACCAGTGGAACAACTCCAGATTTTACATTAGTGTCACTTTACTGGGGGTGACTTTCAATTTGCTCCATTAGCAGCCCTGAAGCGATGCTGGAGCGGATCCAGCGGCCACGCCGCAGCCTGCCAGGGCTGAGGTGACTTCAGATTCCAGTAGAGTACTGGAATTTCCACCCCCATTGAAACGGGGGAGTTACACGGGAGTAAAGGCAGGAGCTGCCCGACCTCCACCGCCTCCAGCTGTCACGGCACGGGCAAAACTGAAGTCAGCCCAGCACGAGCATGGCTGAATTTTCCGCCGGGTCAGCTGACAGCAGAACGTAACTTCGAGTTTCTACAGTATGTGAAAACCCACAATAAAATACAGAGATTGCTTCCTGACATCCTAGAAAGGTTTTTGGAAGAACCAGCCCATCCTGGCTCCGCTCCTGCCGGTGCTGACACCAAGGAAACCTTGCTGCGGGCTCGGCAGAGGCAAGATGGGACCCCACTATCAGTATACAAGTTACTATAAAGTGCATCCACTCTCCAGTCCAGGGCATCACTGTACAATGTCAATCACTGACTCTTCTTCAAGTATCAAAACCAAAAAATGAGGTAAAACAAAAATGAAAGAGCAAACAGGCCGCCTCGCCACCCCTGCAGGGAAGGACCAGGCGTTCGATTCCACCAAGCACGAACCCCTCCGAAAGCGCGGGAGACGTCATGCCCCGCTTTTGAAACCTCCCCGGCGTGCCAGGGAGGGTCCTGTGGAGCCATCACTGATTCACAGTGCTATCTAGACGCAGAAACCAAATGAGAACTGTCTTCGCTCCCTGTCCTAACCTATTGCATGGCTTTGCTGAGTGAATGCTGGTAAGTGGCTGCTTCATCCCACCCCAGAAGCAGGCGTTGCCGTCCACGGGCGAGGGAGCGAGGGGCGACCGCTGCGTTTTTCGAAGGCTTTGGGATCCTTGTGGATGCTCCCGAACTGCAGGACATCCCTGGGTTTGCTATGGCTGAGCCATGGCACAGAGGACAGGAGCAAAAGCTAAACCCAGAGGTAACCACCT